TTCGAGTTTAGCAACCATTTGAACATTAACGAAGTAGTTTTGGTGACTTCGTAACATGTTACGAAGCTGTCAGCGGCGGTTGACACGTACTACGAATACCCGTCACGACGCCTACTGGCTGACCTGACCTGACCTAACCGGTAACCCGACCTGGTCTAAATGCTTAAAGACCATCTGTGATCAAAACTAACACGATATTCATGATCAGAACCTCGAAAAATCCCTTAGCAGCCACACTTTACGACTTTCTAACAGGTCCCGATTTTCCCCGACTTTGGGTCATTGACCTGACCTGGAAGGTCAACCAATGACCTAGCCCTAGGACCTTAAAATTGGGTATCATCGGCTTCCTCTCGTCACGGGCAACACGCTCGTTTTTTCCGCGAAGCTCTAGCTCGATCAGGGGCCAAACGGCAAGGGGTGTCCAACCGACCCCCCCCCCTACACATTAGAAGCTGGCAAACGCCGCACACATGCGAGGGTAAAAATGGCGAGCGGCCCTCCCGCCGGAATGGTGAGCGTCCTTCTCTGTCAAACGCGGCGCTAGTTTCCGCCTAAGCTCCGCTGGCCCGCCCAACTGCTATGTCATGCGGCACAGTCTACAAGTACAGGTGACCGGTCGCGAGATCGGAGCTCCGTAGCACCGAGCGAGTGTGGCGGAGGTGGGGGTATTCACCGCATCAAACCTACAGGTCGCCTGGACCCTTATCTTGAGACCAATAGTACACGGTTGGGGACCGGTTAGTAGGGTGCCGTGCAAAAAATCAGTTTGGACCCCGTCTGCACGTGCGCACGTGCAGAATGCCTCTTCCAGATCTCAGGAACGGCTGGGCCAAGTTGCGTTCAAATTTGGTACACTGCTAGCGACCGGTTAGAAGGGTGCTTTGCACAAGTCCGTTGGAAGCACCCTCTCGCCCTTCCGCACGTGCAGGGCTCACTATCTCGCTCGCTCGTTCTTCGCCCAAAAGGCGTTTTACTGGTTTTAAAGGCTAAAGGCCTGGCTACACTATGCGTTTTCTGCGTGCGTTTTTGCAGGTTTGCGTGTTTTGCGTAATATCGTTCTAGGAAAAAAGTTATAAACAATATAATTTTTACTTTGGTTATATACAAAAGCTAATATAACTCTTATGTAACTAAAATTTAAGGTGAAAAACATCACAAAAACGTAATATCGTTCCTTTTTCTAGAACGATATCACGCAAAACACGCAAACACGCAAAAAACGCACGAAGAAAACGCATAGTGTAGCCAGGCCTTTAGGAAGAAAGAACAACAAAAATTTTATCGCAGTTTTATTTTATTTGCATAACAGCGCATTGAAAAATGCAATCCAATGAGTTTTTACATGGAAGCTTTTTTGGGAGGTTTTTTCCTCGTGGCGTCAAATAACAGTAAGTAGGGTAAGGTGCCTAATTAGCGACCCCCTTAATTTGAACCGTCATTGCTCACGCTCTGTGGGTGCCACTGTATTACTGGCTTGATTTTCGGAGAGGTCGTTCATTTTTCTATTAAAAAATAGTCATTTTCTGCTCCAATATTCACTAACTTATTTGTAGTGAGCATTTTAGCAAACCATTGCAAAAAACGCTAATAGGGAACTCTTCCCGATTAGCGACCGGGGAGGGTCGCTAATAAGTCTATGGGTTTCCCCATATTAAAAATGGCAAAAAATGCGACGCCTGAAAAGATGAAATATTATCTCAAAAAGGTAACCTATACGCAAAGCACTCAATCACTCGAACAGGAACGTTTATCTAACACATTTATGTAAGTAAAAACTGATCACGTGATGCACCGAAGGCGAAAAGAAGGCGGAAACCCAAATTTTGCGGGCTGTCTCGTATGATATTCGAGGTCCGCGCTGAATTCGGCACCCCTGCAGTCGGTGACGACATCTGACATCCCCTGCTACACATTCCAAGCTTCAGCAACACCTCATTTTCATTTCTCTCTTTTCCCCTTTCTTTCCCTTCTTGAGCTATTTGCGACCATGTCAGGCGCAAATAGGAAATATGAGTTGCGACACATTTTTAACCGCCATGCTGTGCACAGTTAAGCGATCCACTATGGGAAAACGGCAATCAATTGAAAAAGGAATGTCGATTCAGAATAAAAAAGGTGCATCATCCTAATGTGCATCGCTTTTCATCAGAGAGGGCCCAAACACACACGTTTTGGATAAGAAACTCGTCATTTTCATTTAAACTCACCTGAAACGTCCCACCAGAAACATCGACAACCGTAAAATAATTTAATATGATAACCAAAGTATGGCTGACCTTTTGACGATGTTTTTACACTGTTTTATCCCGCCAGTTTTTCTGTAGGGAGGTAGGTCGCAAATCGGAAAGGGTCGCTAATTAGGCACCTTACCCTACCTTTCTGGATTCACCAGTAAACTGAATATCAAGACAAAATTGCATTTCCAGAAAATGCAGCAAGGTCCTCCAAGTCTACCCCGAAGCTTTATTTTCTCCATGCCTCTTTTCAGAAAGGATTTTTTTCAACCAACATCGTTATCAGCAAACGTCATGTCTTACCAGTAATGTCCGAATCAGAGGGATGGTGGGCGTCGAGCCCACAAAGTTTTGAGCGTTCCCGGACAGCAATGCGGGGTACTTATAGTGTTTTCGAGCAGTTATCAACACGCGACTGGGAAAACAGGTGTTAGTATTCACGAACGATGACCTCGCTTTGCAGACCGTCTTCTCAGAGCATGAGAGAAAGGAGGCTGCGCTTCTCCTCCTGTGTAGGGATGACAACATGTTAATATCAGCCCCGCCCGACTTGAAGACGTGTTTGTATGTTGGACGATGTAAGGCGTGTTTGATTGTATGTTGAAGGAGTAGACAATTCCGCCATAGTTCGAGGAGTGTACGGCCCTCCAGCAAAAGAGTGGTTGGTTAGCCTATATGCTTTTGGTATAATAACTTTGAATGACAGAGACACTCCTGTAAAATGACTCAATAGACATGAGAAGAGGGTTCGTGCACACACTTCGGCAATGGTTTTCAATAGCCATTAGACGTATTCATCAATGCAGATCGCTTATTGTGATGTTGGCAACCACCACTAAATACCTGGAGGGCCGTACATCAAAATCAATAAAAGCTTGGGCATCTATCAGCAGGAAGCTGTCTTCTCGCCGAGCAATGCTCATTAAAACACCGCAGTTTACCAAAACAATAATCAAACAACTCGAACTCAAAGCTGGTGGTTGTCTATAAATTATGATGCATCTATCTCACACACGAAGTAATAATAGAGATCACAATTGTGTCCATACCAATCACCGTCATCATGATGATTGATCACGACGCAGCACTCTGTTCCGGTACAGTCGTCGACGCCGTTATACCAGTTATTATAGTCATACGTTGATCCGTCTGTCCAAGCCCATGCAGCCGTTGAGTTGGCTCGGTACAGCCCTAGCCAGGCAGTCAACACACCCATGACATTTTTAGCAATAAAAGTGTCCAGTTCCTGGTCATGAATCGAAGCCAGATGAGCGTGGGGCGAAAACAATGAGCACACGGTAGTTGCACCATACCACGCCAGTCTGTTATAAGACATCCAGTAGCACATGTCGCGGAACTGCTGCCACTCGGGCGAGGGACACGTGGCCAACGCCAAGACGGCGGTGACGATGGCGGCCGACAGGGCTAGACGGAGAGGCAACCTCATTTTTGTTGGCTTGGTTACGCCTAAGTCGGGCCTGTGAAATGGGGTCAGTGAAATAGATATAGTGAAATGATAAGTAATGTTGAGTTTCTTGAAAGGTTTTGATAAGTTTAATGAATGACTGACACTAATTTGCTGATTACACCAACACACATTACATATGAAGGAAAATGATACACGAGACAAAGGTATCAAATCATGGCGGGCAGTACTGCAAGATGTGCCTGCTCTGCTTGAACACATTAAAAACATACGTTACCTATGCACTTGATGGCATAGAACAGGCGTAAGTTGCCTTGTACTGAAAAAGATGCGTTATTTTGAAAGGCATGAATGACTCAAAATAAGCGACCCAGAACAGCTTTGGGTTTCAAATCATTTCTAAACTAGGAACCGTCAGAACACTCTTGGCCCTACCTCAAATTGCCTTTGGATTTCATAAGTGATACTGAAAGTGGTATAAGAAATTACAATAGATGCTCCCTAAAAGACGAATAGCTGACGACGAACCACTGAAGTGTTATGAACATTACCGGACAATGAGACGGTGTATTTATAGACTTTTTTTGCGAATTATCAACACGTAACCTGGATAACAGGTGTCAGTATCAACGGACGATGACTTCGTTTTTCAGACCGTCTTTTCATCGGCCCTGGGAAAAAGCAGTCTGTGCACACTGCCCACTATGTGGGGATGGGAGCATGTTTATCTTCGCCCCGGCTTAGATTGTTATATATGTCGTAGGCATTAGGTAAAATCCAGCATTTCATGAAATGTCTAGGCATTGAGTGAAATGCCGACAAATACTTAAACTTTCGTAGAAATACTCGCGTTACAGCGAATGTTTGATCTTGCTAGGTATTATATGAAACTTTATGCGGAGACCAGGCAGTCGCTGAAAAGTTGAAGTTTACTTAGTACAATTGTTGAATAAATAAACATTACATGAAATGCCCATGTGACTACCGTCACTTATCGCAGATATGCGATGCGATTGCCTCGATTGCCGCAGATGTGCGAGATGTTTGGCGCGCTGGCTCAGTAGCAACCCTAACCAGCACCATCTAACATAACCTATAAAGTTATCTTCTTTCTATGCTAGGTATATTAGGCTTGCTACGCAACATAGGTGAAAGTAGGCTTTAGTTTATAGGTAAGGTTAGGTTAGAAAGTTTGAGTTAGAAATGGACTAGACCAGACGGGATTTGAACCCACCATCTCGCCACGGAGTTCAACGCCTAGTATCGTACACCATCATCCTGTTTGACCGAGCCGGTGAAACACCACCAAAACAATCAGCCGATGAAAACAAAAATGGTAATGTAACACGCTGATATTAAATATCAATTTGCCCTTTCTAAAACACATGTTTCAAACAATTCCGAACATTTGAGCGACATCGAAAATAGAAAATCGGGCCATCAAAAAGCCGCAAGCGGCGTTGTTTTCAACTTGTTAACGGCTACCTAGAATTTATGACGCTTCAATCTGACACACGAAGTAATAGCGAATACCACAGTTGTGACCAAACCAACTACCCCGTTGCGTATTATGGTTGATCATTGTGCAACAATGACTTTCATCACAATTATCAATGCCGTCGTAAAAGTTGCTATAGTTGAACGCCGATCCGTCCGTCCAGACCCATGGTGCCGAGGGAGAAGTCCTGTCCAATCCCAGCCAGGCGTAATAGCCCTGGAGAAGATCCTCAGCGATGAAGGTGTTCAGGTCCTGGCCATGAATCGAGATGATGGTGGAGCCGGGCAAAGTGATTGGACACCTATTTACAGCGTCTTGCCAACTGTGTTGAACATCCGACCTCCAGTAGCACGTGTCCCGGAACTGCTTCCATTCGGAGGAGGGACACGTGGCCAAGACGGCGGTGACGATGGCGGCCGACAGGGCTAAATGTAGAGTCCATCCCATTGTTGTTGGTTTGGGTGAAACTCAATGGGACCTGGAAAATGGATTATGTGAAATAGACTCAATGAAATTATTAAAGATGTTCAGTGCCTACGATTATACTGAAATGGCCTAGTTAAACATAAGCTTAGTTTGCTTTTAGATTGATTACATCAATGTAAGCAAAATATGAATAAAACTAATATTAACCCGCGCCCGGCTGGGGGTCCTGGATTTCCACGCCCTGCTGGGGGGGGGGGGGTGTTTGAACACCCCCCCTTCTAACTCGGCTCCTGGGCCACGTAGCGATACGCGGAAGGCGGCGTTCGAAAGAGCGTCAAAAATAATGACGAAATCACTTCGGTCAATTTTTTGGTCAGGTCAAAGGTCAGGTCACCAGAGGTCATTGAAGGCAAAATTTCGCCGATTTCCAGGTCGAATGTCGAAAATTTCCAAGAAGCCAACGCATAACTCGGGAACCAATAGAGCTACAGCGCCGCGGAAAAGCGCATTCGATAGCCCTATTGACGCCCTTTCTGAGTAATTCTCTCAGATTTGACCTAACGTCAACGGTTTTGCCTGCAGGGGGCAAAAACTGCAAAAATAGCCGATTTTTTCGGAAACAGTTTTTCTGCAATAACTTTTGACCCATGCCTTGTACGAGCTTACTTTTACCGGCATCGTGTTCCTCTCGTCAAGACGCATCGAATGAACTATAACTTGACCTTGAAAGGTCAAATTGAAAATTTGACCTCAGGTCAAGGTCATGACCTGACCGGAAAGGGTCATGTTGCATATCAGTCGATCCGTATCGTCGAGCTGAACACATCTAAGGTGTTTTCATCGTTCTAGCATGCCTCTATCAAAAGTTATTTGCGAAAAACTGTTAGATACCATTCGTGACCTAAGATGACCTCAGGGCATAAACAGGGGTCACGGACACCATTTTCATGTTCAGTGTGTCTAAACCACTTGCAATTCAGTGTTTGGGAGTTTTTATAATGTCTTTCGTCCAAAGGAGACGCATTTCAATTTTCTCCCATTGACTTATAATGGGGAGGTGGCAAAATTGACCTGACCTTAGGTCATCGATATCAAAATTCTGAGATATACATTTTGTACATGCTATTGCTCTTAGCAATCGCTGAAAGTTTCAAAGCGATCAGTCACTCGGTGTAGCTATGACAGACATTGAAACTTTTTATGAGGTGAGGTCACTTCAAGTGACCTGGTGACCTGACCTTGAATGACCTTGGTCTGAAATTTTCACAACATGTGTAGAATTGATGCATGATAAGGTGTACCAAAAACGGCGGCGCGCAGGGCGCGGGTTAAAATGACAGTACTAAGAGAATTGACCAAAAAAAATGAAGGGAAGGCAGCATTGACGAGACAAGGGTAGAATATAAATGGCATGCAATGCTTGCAGAAAGCGTAAAAATGGCGTCACGTAGCGGCACCAAGTTTGGCATACTTTCCCAGGCATGCCAGGGAACCCATCGGCAAGTTCCCTGGAAATTTCAGGTCTCAGTCATTTGAGGTCAGATCACCAGGTCACAAAAACCGGTACATACAAGGTCAGGATAGCATTGGACTTGCTAAGCGGCAACGGAATGACAAAGTTTTTTTTTTTTGTTAATAGCGTAAGCGCCGTGGCACGGCCATCGTCATTTATCATTTATCGTCACGGCTATCGTCCTTTAGGAAATAGTAACGAGCCATTTTCTTACCACCAATGCTCCTAAGGTGAATAGCTGACGTCGAGCTTCTGAAGTGGTTCAAACAATGTGAGATGAGGCATTTATAGTGTTTAGGCACTCGTTATCAACACACGCCTGGGAAAACAAGGTGCGCTATTCACAGCCCATGTGGCCTCGCTTTACCCGAAGGGGCAATATTGGGCATTGCCGGACCGCAGGTGGTTTGAAAAACACAAAAAACTCATACACAAACACCACTAAGCCAAAAAAGGAAAATAAAGAAAATACTTAAATGGTGACGTAACATTCCTTGGTACCTGAACCCTTCAAATCATCGTCATTGATTTGCCCCGAGTGACAAGTCTGACATCAATGCTACGCCGCGCCCCTCTTTACTCAGCAGCAGCGCCACCCGCAGGTCGTGTGCCACCTGCAGCTGTGTAGCGCACACAGATGTTGCGGTTTATATGTATAGGCATAGGTGTCGCAACTATAGCGAGACGTGCAGTGCAAATGGTAGCAGACAGTAGTAGTTTCCCCTACCAAAGTGGTGGTTTTCTACCACAGACGCTGATCGAGGTCGGAAATTCCAAATGCGTGTGTGCTACCTGCAAACGTTGTGCCTCCTAGAGTCCTCTCTTCAACAGCCTACACTTAAAGGGACCCTCCTAACTTAAAAAGTTAATGAATTGGCAGTAACTTAGCGTGGTTCAAAATGAGCAAAAATGACTATCTACCAAATTTCACCGAACGATATTCACCGTTTTTTTTTTTTTAGACGCAATACTTTTATTTTTGTTCATTTCATGTACCTAATGCCTACACTCAGGGCAAAGAACATTTGCATGATGACTCAGCAGCAGGGTCTGCTGAGGGTACATCCGTATCGGGGGGGGGGGGAATCGGACACACTGTGCCCATCCCCCCCATCGAAAGCTCCTGGCTACGCCACGGACTTCACGTCGGCATGACTCTAGAAGCCGAGATACATCTGTTCCTTTCCCACACAGTCAAGGGCGGCGCCACCGTGGGGGCAGTGGGGGCAGACTGCCCCCACTGGCAGGAGGCCGTGGGGGCAAGACTATGTTTTTGCCCCCACAAAATTTGGCTGATGTTGAAATGGGAATAGAAGACCGGTGCAACATTCATGATAGGCGGTTATAATAGTACGCCTGTTTTTGACGATCCCCGTATCAAGTGCATCAGCAGAACGTTCGTTCTCAGACCGTCTGTCACATATCTCCTACTCCCACTCATTCTCCTCCTCATTTTCATTCACCAGAAGGCTGCCATCGAGCTTGAGCTCGAGGAGGTTGAGAGGCAGCTTGTCAAAATCGGCCAGAGAAGAGTTCACCCTCTTTTGGGAACCCTCAGACTGAGACTGAGCTCAGGGGGTATGACAAAATGTGATAGGTAGGTAATAGGTATGTATATCTGGGTTATCTGGAAATGTATGTGGATCGCCCTAATAGAGCTTATTCTGGTATCAATCGTGTGTGAGAGAATCGCATATATTCGCACTACGGTAAAAAAGAGAACTAGGTACTGATAACTGTTTTGAGGAATACACCATTTTACATCTCAACATAACGTTTTCACAGGTTTCTGTCTCGCAATTTAGTTTTATAGTTTTATTTGCTCGCGACCTTAAAGGAAATAGTTCACTTTTAGCATGGGGTTTTGAACTGAAATTGCAGTCTTGTAGCTTGCGCTGAGACTAGCACAAATCATAAGCTTTTACGGCCCAACGATCACCCTAAGCAAAAATATTCAATTTCCCGTTCCAAAAAGAGTGTCTTACGCAGGAATGTGGTGTCTTAGAAAGGAATGCAGTCACATCATCGTCAGCCAATCAGCATACTGCTTACAGCCAATGCAGCATGCTTAGGTTTGAACTACGCAATGTGATTGGTCAACGCGTAATAAGCTTCCGCGTCAAAACATCATTCTACATAGAATATAGGTCTTCCTATATTAAAATATAGAAAATAATTGTTCTTATAGAAAGGTTTTATTTTATTTTCTGATCATTTTGAGGATAAAAAATCATAAATCCATAGCAAAATACTAATTTCAGAAAAGTGAACTATTTCCTTTAACCTGCCCGGGCCCGGGGGTATTCCCAACCACCGCAGCCCGGGGTAACCCCCACACCTGTCTAACTCCGTACTTAAATAAGGAAATAAGGCAGCTATGGACACAAAAATGGTACCAAACGAAAGGTATCTACGATAAGATTTTATAACACCCAAAGTTTTTGACCTCAGGTCAATTTTCAAGGTCAAAAGTCAAGGTCCAAGGCAAAAACCGGCACTTTTTAGCCCTCGCCGGCCGAGGGGGGGGGGCGGGTGCCGCCCCCCCCATAGGGTTTTTTCGCGATAGCTCCGAACACACTGGCGATAGAGAGCTGAAACTTGGCATACCTGACCTTTTATCCAAGCCGCATCTTTTGACACCAACCGCATTTTTGGGTCAGGTCAGGTCACTGACCTATGACGTCATAAGTGAACCTCTGCACGGTCTTCAGATGTCGCAACTTCGCAACGCCCTCACTGCCAGAGGAGATGTCACAGGGAAATGAAACTTGCAGGATCTAGTATCCATTATGAGTCTCACAACTTGTATATCTCGGATTTTTCCTAAAGGTCATATGAGGTCAGGTCATTTTCGTGACCTCACCATTATAAGTCAATGGGGAAAAATTCAAACTGCTATTCTGGCGCCGGGAACGATCTCCAACTATCTCAAGCACACAGAATCGTGATTTGATGCACTCTTTGCAAGGTTAGATGCGTCACTTTTGCAATGTTGACCTTCCGTGACGTCATTTATGACGTCATCAAGGTCATATTAGTTTTTCGTCAATAACTCCCGATCAAATTGAGCTAGCGAGTCGGGAAAGCCACCAATGGACTCAGGAAGACCTGCCGAATCGAATGATATGCGACATGACCTCTTTCGACCAACTTCGTGACCTGGGGGTGCTGACCTGACCTTGACCTGAGGTCAACACCCCAAGTTGACCTGACCCGGACAAAAAGTATATCATTCGACGCGCCTGATCAAGGCGAACACGATGCTGCCAAAATCGCGGCTCTGCGGCCGTTTTTTGCGAAGTTATTCACCAAAAACTGAACCGTACCCTGGGGCACTTGACCTGACCTCAGAGGTCACCGGTTGACCTAGGACCTTAAAATCGGGTACCAATCTCTGCGTCTCGTAACGGCGCACACGCTCGTTTTTTCCGCGACGCGCTAGCTCCATCAGGGGCGAAACGGCGAGGGGGGGGGGTCGTACCCGCCCCCCCCCCCCTCGGCCGGCGCGTATGTAGAAAACCAATAGGTCCGGCGAGGGTTAGTGGTCTCAAAGTACGTGTTCCAGAGGACGACATGGTGCATAAAACCGGCTAAAATGGATGTTAAACGAAAGAAGAGAGTCTGGGGATTCCGATGACGTGCAGTGCATAACATTCAAATTCAAGGTCACGGTCGTGATCAAAATTGACCACAAACTTTGCACTTTTTCTTATACCTTGTATACTAAATTCAGAGATGTTTTGAAATGTTTTGAAGCTTAGCGGGCCCCTATTTGTGCTTTAGCTTACAATACAAGGCTGCTACAAGGTCAAAGTCACAAGAGAGTATCCTTGCTAGAGGCTATTTCACTTATTTAAGTCAGGCATAATACCTAATTAAGACATGTTTTGCCATCCTGAGGCTCTAAATTAATGCTTAGAGCAAAATGGATGCCAGAATCGTGATCCGCGGCTACGAAATCATCACTAACAACCTTTCATGTGTCAAAGTCAACCAGACGTCATTCGAGGTCACGTGATGTCAACATAAAACTTGACCTTTTTTTCCAAACAATATATATGTCATTCGACGCGTCTCGACGAGACGAATGCGAAGGTACCTACCGCTGCCGTAGCTCTACGACTATTTTTGTTGACGTTATTTGCGAAAAAAAACTAAAGCCTTAGCTCGGGGTCGTTGACCTGATCTCTGACCTCAGGTCACCAAAGTTACTTACGTATTTTTTCTAGGTCAAATGCTACACAACGGTGCTCGTTATTTGTCTTTAACTCTAAAACTCTATTTTGGCAGCTGGTTGAAGTTCACGTCTGTGACGCCGAAGTTTGCCGTGCAGGAGTCTAGAAAAAAATCGGCCTTGAGACGTTATTAAGAAGGCTAGGTCCAATTTGTTTTGCTTCAAAAGATTTCAAATTAATGGGGGATAAGGTACAGCAAGTTTCGTATTTTTACTCCTAAGCGTTCATGTGGTATCGCAAATATTCGCCAGGGGAGGCGAAAAACGCCCCTCCCCCCGTTCCGGACCCGGGAGGGTTAATGCAAGGCCGGGTTAATGCTTAAGCTCAATACGTATGCATGAAACCTGAAACCATGATAATTTCTAATTGGCAACATCTAGGGGCAAGGAGCTCATGGATTTTGCAGATCGAGTTATCAGACAACAGTCGGGTCACCTGAAGCTTGCCCCCACTGGCGAAAATTCGTGGCGCCGCCACTGCACACAGTATGCCAGTGCACAGTGCATAGCCTCGTTTCGCCTAGGTCACGTGACAAGGCGTTTTGCAAAGCGAGGTCACCGCTGGAGAACATTGGCATCTGTTTCCGAGCCGTATTGATAACGTTCCACATAGGTCCTTAAATATCACTCTGACAAATAATGTGTCAAACACTTCCGGAACTGGACGCACGCTGTCTTGCTGCAATACGAATTGTTGCAATGCAATATACATACCAAATTTTAGATCGATACCTCCTTTTTTGGCCAAGTTATAGCAAAAAAAAAAACTGTTCAAAATTGAGGACGTCAAATTTTCGAACTCAATTTTTTAGCAATTTTAGACCACGTAGCGCAAAACAAAGACCACCATTGAACTCCCCGTGACGAGCTGCATCGAATCGATACCCATTTTATGCAAAAATATCAACTTTCCTAATTTGACCTGACCTTGACCTGACCTTGACCTGACCTTCACCAAAACATAATCTCAACTGACCCCAAGGGCTGCCTGTCCCACATAATCGCATTTGGCATATAAAATGGACCATAAAACATCA